AGGTTATCTAGTACGTCCAAACATTGAAAAGTGTTTCTTTGACCGTCAACCTCGATTCCAGTCTCTCTCTCCTTTTCCTCCCTTGTCGTTGAGGGGAGATACCCTGGTTTGCGGCTGGTCACGTGACTATGCGGTTTACAACAATACCGCAGGGAGGGTGGGTCTTCGAGGCCGTTTTGTCAAGGTGAAACAATAATTACTAACCAGGGGATCGAAGGGGCAAATCGAGCATGGTTCAAAATGGAACAGCCTTGCTTTCTGCTGGTTTATACGGCGAGATTATGTTAAAAGTGAAACAGGCTATTTGTATGGAACGTTTGTTTTTATTCTGTACAACTTCGAATTCATGACATGAACATGTATACGTGACGGATATTTTCGAGCCACAAAAGCAGCGGCGCGAAACTTATTATATTACAAGAATGGAAAATCCGCCTTGCAAACACAAATTCTAAGTAAGCTTATATAATCAGAATATAACTAGACAGGTTCGTGATCGTAAAGCTAAACGAGGTTGTAAACCAGACACCTTGGTCTCAAACCAAGTTTGAAAACAACAAATAAGCTTGGCGAGCTCGTTCACTGATCCTGTGATCTCCGGTAAATTAAAACACAACGGCATTTACTTACAAATTCATTTGGAGCGAAATCAGGAGCGAGCGAAATAGTCCAAATTTTAGGATAAAAGAATAGCTTACTTTTTTCTCTAACTGATTCTGTCGTTAGTTTGACCGTAATATAGTTTTCTTGTGTAAAAAAATCTACAACAACAACCGCTCGAAGCCGCCCGCCGGCGGTTCCTTGAAAATCAACAACCTTGTATGGCACGAATGTCAAACGGACTGTACGAAGGAATTTGTTTCCATCGGCAGTTTTTGCAGTGAATACAATTTAACGATCACTTAAAACTCATTACCTTAAAGCTGTTCACATACCGAAATGATCGGCTTTCTTCCATGGACAAAATTCCGTTGTAAAACGTCAGACGTAGTTGTGTAGTTCTGAGAATTACGCAAGCGGTTTCCGAGAAAATATTATTGCAGTGATCTTCGCAAACGGCCTGGCAAAGCCTGTAGAAGCTTGAATAACCGCATGTAAGCTTATGTACAAACTTTTTGGTGCTTGCTTTTCTTGCGAGTTGTTTGAAGACCTGCTACATCTGCGAGTTGCGACTTAGAGTCAACGCTCTCGCCCTCGCATAGTAGATTTGTCACAGCAACAACTCTAACACTCTAACCACCCCTCCCTTTCGAATATATTTTTTACTACCCAGAATTTGGGTGGTCACGTGACCAGCCGCAACCAGGGTCTCTCCCCTCAACGACAAGGGAGGAAGGGAGAGAGAGCCTGGAATCGATCTCGACGCGACGGAGAAATAAACCTCTGGTACCCAGGATAGAGAAAACCCAGTTTTACAGTTTTCTGCGAGGGGAAACGGGGAACCGAATAGCCACCAGGAAAAATGTGCTCACCTATATGGAAATAGAAATAGACACAACCGAGCCGGGAAGTGGAATGACTATACCTGCCATTTCGATGCAAAATATTCAAATTATGCCCCAGTTATTGTTTGTTCCAAAAAATGTTTACTTGAGGGGACCTGTTTCTTTTGTTGTTGTTGTTGTTGTTGTTGTTGTTGTTGTTGTTGTTGTTGTTGTGTTGTTGTTGTGTTGTTGTTGTTGTTGTTGTTGTGTTGTTGTTGTGCTGTTGTTGTGTTGTTGTTGTTGTTGTGTTGTTGTTGTTGTTGTTGTGTTGTTGTTGTTGTGTTTGCTGTTGTTGTTGCTGTTGTGTTGTTGTGTTGTTGTTGTTGTTGTGTTGTTGTTGTTGTTGTTGTTGTGTTGTTGTGTTTGTTGTTGTTGTTGTTGTGTTGTTGTGTTGTTGTTGTTGTGTTGTTGTGTTGTTGTGTTGTTGTGTTGTTGTGTTGTTGTGTTGTTGTGTTGTTGTTGTTGTTGTGTTGTTGTGTTGTTGTGTTGTTGTGTTGTTTGTGTTGTTGTGTTGTTGTGTTGTTGTGTTGTTGTTGTTGTTGTGTTGTTGTTGTTGTTGTGTTGTTGTTGTGTTGTTGTTGTGTTGTGTTTGTGTTGTTGTGTTGTTGTTGTGTTGTTGTTGTTGTGTTGTTGCTGTGTTTTTGTTGTTGTGTTGTCGCTGTTGTTGTGTGCTGTTGTGTTGTTGTTGTGTTGTTGTTGTGTTGTTGTTGTGTTGTTGTTGTTGTTGTTGTGTTGTGTTGTTGTGTTGTTGTGTTGTTGTCGTTGTTGTGTTGTGTTGTTGTGTTGTTGTGTTGTTGTGTTGTTGTGTTGTGTGTTGTGTTGTTGTGTTGTTGTGTTGTTGTGTTGTGTTGTTGTTGTGTTGTTGTTGTGTTGTGTGTTGTGTGTTGTGTTGTTGTGTTGTTGTGTGTTGTGTTGTGTGTTGTTGTGTTGTTGTGTTGTTGTGTTGTTGTGTTGTTGTGTTGTTGTGTTGTTGTTGTTGTGTTGTTGTGTTGTTGTGTTGTTGTGTGTTGTGTTGTTGTTGTTGTTGTGTGTTGTGTTGTTGTGTTGTTGTGTGTTGTTGTTGTTGTTGTTGTGTTGTTGTTGTTGTGTGTTGTTGTTGTTGTGTTGTTGTTGTTGTTGTGTTGTTGTTGTTGTTGTTGTTGGTGAGTTGTTGTTGTGTGTTGTTGTTGCTGTTGCTGTTGCTGTTGCTGTTGCTGTTGTTGTGCTGTTGCTGTTGTTGTTGCTGTTGCTGTTGTTGTTGTTGTTGTTGTGTGTTGCTGTTGCTGTTGCTGTTGCTGTTGTTGTTGTTGTACGTTTGTTGTTGTCGTAGTCGTTGTCAATGTTGCGTAGCGAGAATTGCATGTATAAATTAGATATAGAAATATAATGCCAAAGCAATTTATAGGCTTTTATCGAGTACTGACTCGTTTATTTCAATTGAGCTGTGATGCCGAGTAAGCAAAATGGATGTGCGTTTGCTTGTAACTTGCAACATTTCAGTTGTAATTTGTTTTGATTTAGTATGCTCCTTAGGTGCATGGTTACAATTTCAATACATATTGTTTTTAAGAACCTGCGAGTCACGTGTGAATGGGATTGCAAACCCTCTACCCCTACCCTATGAAGCCACTGGGAGCAGGTCAAATGCGCGTTCTATTTATACATGGCAATTCAGGTGAATAGGGGTCGAGAGGACAAGAGAGGATGTTCTAAGAGAAGGATTATTCGTGTCCTAGCAGATTTTTGTTAACTATATTAATTGATCGAGGCTCCGACATCACCTTACTCGATCGAACCGACCAATCACCCATGGAATGAAAATTAAAAATACTTTGAAAACTGATGGATGGATGCTTCTCTAAGATCATCCTCTTTGGGGATGATGAATATATAAAATAATCATATATGACATGCGTTGGAAAGAACAAAAGAGAATGATATATTTGCAGTTTTATATCAAAAACGGTTTACTTTCCTGAGGAGAAACGGTTTTACAGGACGACTGACGAGTCTCACGAACGTTGACAACTAAGAGGAGAAAATGCGTTGCAGATTTAAAAGAACCAGGAGCCCATTACTAAAAAAAAAAAACCAGTCAGAATGAACCATTTAATTTGGGATAAACAACATGAATTTTATTACGTACTTGCACGGGATGGTGCAACTTCAAAACACACCATTTTGAATATTCGTCGCTTTTAAGCAATTGCAATTTTTAAGCCAGAAAAAAATTATGGCTTCAACGGGCTTAAATTGCACTCACTGACTGCGATGATCATTCATTCATTCCATTTCATTTCCGCAGTTCATATATATATTATTATATGATTTCATTCATATATTCATCATCACATTATTCCTTCATGTCACGGGTATATAAACTCACAATTGACCTGCTCCCAACGTGTGGCTTCATAGCTCAGTCAGTTGATAGAGCAACGCACTATAGTAACGCGGAGGTCATGGGTTCAAATCCCGTTGAAGCCATAATTTTTTCTGGCTTAAAAATTGCAATTGGTTAAATTGCACTCACAACTGCGATGATCATTCATTCATTCATTCCATGACTGTAAATACAAGCCGCCAAATGGGATAGCGGTATTCATCTTTTTTAATCATTTGTTTTAATTATTAGCTTTATTTAAAGTTATAATAATTATTTTTGCAAGCTTGAACTTATTTAATGATAGGCGTTTTTGTATCAATTGATCACATGACTTATTAGCTAGCATGAATTTTCATTTATTTTTATTTTTATGGCTGTTTGATTATTCACAATGGGGTCGGTCTGTTCACCCTCCAGTCACGTTCCAGTGAGTTCCATACCTTGTATTTGTTTTCAAATTTTCAACCTGCCATAAAATCTCTCCCTTTCGGTCTATTAGCCTGTAAGATTTCTCTTCTAGCTAATTTTCTTTGCGCTTTTTTCTATTTCTTGTAGTAGTTATACATCACCAACCTTTCTTTTTTTGTGGGGATAAAAATTATGGACAACGTCATCAAAAGTTTCTAATTTTTCCAACATTCAAATCGTCATAAAATCTCACCCTTGAACGGCGCTGGTACGAAAATAGGTCTTCTGTCTAATTTGAAAAACTTGCTCGTACCATTTCTGGAATTCATATAGCTCTAGCTAATGTTTACAGATAATTGGTTACGTGCGAGTCTAATGGGTGCAAAAAGCCCATTGCACGCATTTATTCACAAATATACTAAATAATTGATTACAAATTGGTGAACATGATATTGTATACTGTTTTACATGCACACATAACAAGTCGCGGATAGATAGCGATATTAATTTCAGCCGGCCATCTAAAGCACGCAGGAAACCGGAATATAATATCAGGTTTGAATATTTTGTTATAGCTATAGTTGAAGTTAAATAACAATTTTTGGACCCCTGAACTTAAATTCATATATAAAATATGTTTTTCTTTTAATCTAAAATTCATTCAGATTTTCGAAGTTCAGCCAGTTTACTGAATTATCAATGGTGCATTTTATAGGAATTACTCTTTGAAACAATGAAAAATGTGACGCGGAGTATATGCAAAAAAAGTTAGGCTTGAACAACACCAGAAAGCTATACTATCTCTAAACATATTTAATAATGAATATAATGCAAAGGTACCAGATCCTGGTGGATCTAATCAGTAAATTTTAAATGAAACCGGCAATAAAGAAAGGCAGACTGTACTGTTGGGATAAATTTTGTGTATTTTCCAATATTTCGTCAGGCACGGCCTGAATTCTTCAGGGAACTAACTCCAAGAAAAAAACGTTACAATTCATAACCACGTTTTCTAGTTAAAATCTAACTGATAAAAAAAAAAAAAAAGGAAACGAGCGGACTGGGTGTTTTTATCGCGTAGCTTGAGACGCGTTCCGGATCGGAATGGTTCGGGCTTGAGATCATTGTGTCGTGTTCTTGGAAAAGACACCTAACCTCTCTCAGTACCTCTATCCATCCAGGACGGTTAAAATAAGCACCAGCGAACGCGAACTGTCAAACTAAGACTGGTCTCTTCCATGCCACAGAAAAGCTCCTACAGCTGTATGTATGTCACTTTGGCCTTTTCGATAAGACACGCATAAATATAAACTATGCATTCTTAATGGTATTTTTTTTATTTAACAGAGTTAAAAAAAGTTTTTTTAAAACTATACCAAACATCGTCTGCCAATGTGAACATAAATTTGACAACTGACTGCGGGGTTTTTTCGAATTTGTTTTTTTTTATGCCGTTTACAAAAGTTAATTTGAGTTAAAAACTGTCCTTGAATGATTCTAACTGCTTTTAACTTGTTTCAATAATGAAATAAAATTGTCACATATGACGACAATTGTTAATGGAGGAGGTAGCAAATGTTTACTAGCATCTGCATGTCCCATCTCAATCCCGTCAACAGAAGAGAAATCGTAATTTTATATTGTTGCTTTAGGTGCAACCTAGCATTCTAAACAATGAAGCATCGGCTAGCGAAACAATAATAATTATTACATTCATATATTTTTCATTCTGTCCTTCCTAGCCTCAAAGGTTCAACATCGAAAGCATGCATGTTCAAGACATTGACGCATTCCATAATCAACACAAAAGCGTGTTCTGATGGCTTCAATATAAACTTGGCTTATACCGTTAATTTTCGCACTTTGATATTGAAAATGTCCTCGCGAAGTGGTCCATAACAAAAAATAATTCCCAATGTTCAATGCCTGTATACACAAGAACCTTTTGGGGTTTTATTTTCTCTCTCTCTTTTTTTTTTCATTCGGCGTTTCCTCACCTTTGATATTTAAAATGTATCTATTACCCATATTCAACTCTTGTATATGACACTGGAAACTTCGAGTTATATAGAACTACAGAAACAGAAATTCTCGAGCACATCCATTCGCAATTGATAGGTAATTGACAACTGTCTTTTATTTGTGTCAACAATGAGCTAACACAAAAATATTGACATATGATGGAGAAAGCAATTTGCCAAGAGATTATATAAACGGAACTTTTATTGTAGTCATTTTCTATATATAAGAACAAATAAATGAACTGAAGGAACGAGGTCCAGGCAGTTTATTACGAGGCACTAGCGCATGCACATTTAGAAGGAGTTGATCTGAATATACCGCGATGCGTATATACAGTAACCACCTGTTTCTAACCGTCTCAAACTAATTAGTTCAAAAATTTGATACGTGTGTGTTTTTATTTTCTTTGGAATAAGCCACAGGTACAAAGGAAAACATATCAGCATTCCGGCGAATTTAATTATTTCAACATGGAAATTCAAAAATTATCCAATTTTACATGCATATGATGATTACGTTCGTGTATCCTACCTGTTATACTATATATATATATATGTACACCTATCTCAATCAACGTTGTCGGATAGAAAGCGTAAAACCTACAAGACAAGACCGATTGGTAGTCTGGGTATTCATTAGAATTTGCATATCAGTGGAAAATAAATCTACAAGTTTTTATTTTCGGACGTGATGTATTTGGTTTGCCCTGAATTAGATAATTTGTTTTATGTTTTTTTTACTAGCAGATTCTGCTAAAATTAAGTTTGGCTAAAAGTAGCTTACTTCTACAGGTTTAAAACAAAAAGGAAACGTTATAAGTAATGTTTTTCATGTTACTTCTCATTAGTATTTAGACTGCGAGCAGTCGGTCTTTTGGCGCGAGCGGAAATGTTATAAAAACATTAGGAAAAAGAAAGAGGACTGCTCGCAGTCTAATTAGTATTCGGTGCGTGCAGCAGTTTTCTACTTTTAACCATGCTACCTTTCGGTCTTGTCTTGCGGGCTTTTAAAACATTTCTATCAGACAACTTTTATTGAAATAGGTGTATACTATTTAACAGAACTTAACATGAACCAAGTTGCTTACGTAATTCTTACATTATTTGCAAATCTTAGCCGCATGTCTGTTCAATACATTCCAAAATTGATTGCAGACTCCACACTTTCCCTCGATGCTGTCAAATTTACAAGCAAATTTATGTTTACGACGGGTACTGCAGAAACTAAAATTGAGCCTTCTCCGTGCAGTTCCTTGTCTGGGTCGATTAATTTTGATGGTAATTGCAGGGGCATCCAAAAGACGAACATTTTTTGGTAAAATGCATATTGTACCCAGATAAATGAAAATAATGATATAAAAGCATTTCCAGGTGTTCTTCTGCGTTGTGGGAAAAATATATCTGTTCCTCTTTCCCAGCTGGATAAAAATGTCTGTTTTGCAGCCAGTAATTTAAAATAATAACAAGAAGCTGTGTACAGCTTAAATTCGGACTTGCAATCCTTGACTTGGAGAAGTGTCTCGTTAATGGAGGTGGTGAAGAATTCAATACGACAGGAAAAGACCACTAGCAAAATTCCCCACCCCCAGGCCACAAGGACTGACTTTATCCCGGGGGCTGCCTGGGGGGTGGGGGGGGGGGGTGGTAACAGTAGGAATTGAACCATGCATTACACTGTAGTTCGCGGTTGTGTGAATCAGGCTAATTTACAAGTAACATCGCTGGACAAAAAACTTTCTTTCTTCTTAAATAATATTATATGTGTTTCCTAAGTGGTCTGTGCGTTTACGATGGAAAATTTTTAGTGTGTTGTGTTTCTTTGAGTACATTTATACATCACTGAGGATATTCGACTATTAAAATAGTATACTTGTTTTTATATATCTGACCGGATTTGAAAGAACGTGGCCCCTGGAACTAAAATGCACTCAAAACTCTACGACTCCCCGCCACCTCTCCAAAATTGCAGCTCGACTACAGCTAATAGGACATATTTTCAGGCCACTCGGCGACGCGGCGTCCACACTAATGCATTTTCGAAATACTCTGAAAACGCATCGAAAGCTCCACACTAAAAAAGGCTCGACAAATAGCCGCGCACGCACGATGTTTTGTGGCATGAATGACCTTAGCGTTTTCGAAAGCCTCCATTTTTTGTTGTCCATACTAATACGATAGGGTGCCGCGTTCAAATGTATCCACTCTGGACAGCGTTTTCGATGAAAACGATCAGCGTTTTCTATCGTTAAATCGAAACGAATGCGTTTCCAAACGAAGACGCGGCCTTGGGATTGACCTCTGTCGTACTTTCCAAAGCTTCCTTCCTCTTCAAAGCGCCTTTTTCTCCAGACTCTGATTATTTTTCTCACACCCCGCCTTTGTTTTTTTTTGGCGGAACTACGTCCGGAAGGTGTCCGCTAAAATGAGAGTTGACTGTACAAGTTTAAGGAACCCTATCTAAGAAATGATACCCTATTTATGGACGGAGCACGTCAAAAACCATACCATATCCTCCCCGACCGCCGGCACAGTACCTGCCCTTACGAGAAATTCGATTTCAACGGCTGTGTGAACGAATATAGACAATGAAGAAGAATAACTGATGTCGCTTCCACGAACTATCGAAAATCTGACCACGAAACGTATCCGGGGGAAATGTACGAGCTATTTAG